TTCCCCTCCCATACAAGTTGTTAGCCGCCCTGAGTCCCCTCAGGGAAAAGGGCGGCCTATAAATAAACTCAACTACAACTACTACTACTACAATACACTTACAAGATAATTTGGATTTCTCCAAGCACAGTTTGAAAACTATTGTTCTATCATATTCCAAGTAGTTTTCTTTTTTCCCATTCGAAGTCCCTAAGTGCTTCTTTTGTTGTCCTTGTAGTGTTGACATTTAATTTTCATTTTGTGCACCTGACCCAAACTGTGAAGTCTTTTGTATATTGAATGATTAAATATATTAATGTTCTGATATTTACTCAAGATTAACAAAAGCGAAGTAGCTTTATGTGTACCATATATAGCTGGAATGCATTTTCTACAATATTGTCTCTAATATTTTGTTGAGTTGAAACTCCTCTGCATGTATTAGATTGTAGTCCTGCAAGCCATTTTTAGGAGCAAATAAAAGAGGAAGTTTGGTCTTTCTCCAAGAACACGGGGGCTCCAGCTTCATAATAACCTGTGCTCAAAACCTATCAGACACCCACAGTGTTTAATTAAAAGATTTCAAAATGAAATATAAACGAAAGAATATGCCTCAATAAAATGATTGGACATTGGTTTTCTTGTGCTTGTATCTTAGATACCTCTAAACTTCAAGAAAGGTATAATTTACAATGGGAAAACATACAAAACATATAATGGCATATATTTTTAGATTTTTCTAGTCAACAAGACCACTGGAAGACCCACTAACTGAGGTAGAAGACCAGGCGATACTATTGTGTTCTACCCCCTACCATATGAACAAGCCCCTGGGATGCAATGGCCAGAGGGTTGGTCACCCAACCCTTTGCCTAACTTTGGGACACTTGAAAGTGGGGAGTTAGAATTGACAACTAATGGCGGAGGATAGCTTGCACAATTACTCATCATATAATCGTCATCTTAGTTGACGAGCCCTGCTTCCCCCCCCCCTCTAAGGGGTCCCTGGTGCTCTCTAAGCTTGGTTGTTTCCTTGCAAACATCTCCTTACCCAAACTAGGTAACATCACCTGTGCTAATAAGGACTGGGGTTTGCTTTCAGTTTATATTCTAGAGACGTGCCTATCAATGTTGATGCGGGTGATCTTAACGTTTCTTTGGTTCAACTGCTTACTGTTAGCTTGTTTAGAAGCTCCTTGATTCAGGTATTCTTTACTTGATTTTTGGCGTTGGGAATCGCCTGGAGCCAGCTGCGTGTCACCTCCCTGCTGGTCGAAACCAGCCAGGAGGGGCACGGGTCCAGTAAACAGGTGGCTCATCGCTCCCATGGCCTTGTCCACTTCCTCAGGGGTGACAAATTCGAACTCATCCCAGGAAATCCGACTTAGACTTACCCTTGGCATCTCGGCTGGTATTGCCCAAGCAGAGTCAAGGTCTGTCCAAAACTGAGTGATTTTATCAGACAGAAACTGAACAAATTCCTCAGCTCTTCCCTGCAGGGGTTCCCCCACCCCCTCACCTTTCAGGAGGGAGCG